GTTTTCTCTAAAGAGCCAGAGAGTAAATCTTTCAGGTCTTGTGGGCCATGTAATCTCTGTTCCAAATACTTAATTCACCACGGCAGCACAAAGGCAGTCACGTGATGAGGTGCCGTGGAGTCGGTTCTGACACACTGTGACCCGGTGTACAACAGAATGAAATACCGCCAGTCCTGCGCCATCCTCACACTCCATCTGGTCTTGGGTCTTCCTCGTTTTCACTGCCCGTCTACTGTATCAAGCATGATGTCCTTTTCCAGGGACAGGCTTCCCTGACTCATGTCCAAAGCACTTAAGACAGAGACTCACCACTCTTGCTACCAAGGACTTCTTTCAAGACAGGTTGGTTTGTTCTTTTGGCAGTCCTGGTACTTCCAATATTCTTTGCCAGCGCCGTAATTCAAACACACCGATTCTTCTTTGGTCTTCCTTATTCAACGTCCAATTTTCACGTGCATACGAGGCAATTAAAAATACCATGGCTTAGGTCAGGGACACTTTAGTTAGTCCTCAAAATAACATCCTTGCTTTTCAACCCTTTAAAGAGGTGATGTGCAGCAGATTTACAGAATGCAATGCGTTGTGTGATCTCTTGACTGCAGCTTCCATGAATGTGGATTGAGGATCCAAGCAAGGCGAAACCCTTAATACCTTCAACCTTTTCTCCGTGGTCGTGATGGTACCCATTGATCCAATCGTGGATTTCCCTTACACAAGTCACAATCCGACTGAAGGCTGCACTCCTTGGTCGTCATCAGCAAGTGCTTCAAGTCCTCCTCACTTTCGGCGAGCAAGGCAGTGTCCTGTGCCCATCAATGGCGGTTTTTAAGCCTTCTTTCAATCCTGATGCCACATCCTTCTTCATACAATCCGACTTCTCTGATGATTTGTTTAGCACACAGACTGAATAGATAAGGTGAGAGGGTACAATGGCACATACTTTCTTGATTTTAAATGGTACTCCCTTGTTCTGTTCCGACAACTAAATGAATGGGCATGGTTCTCTTCAAATAAAACTTTATTTACAAAAATAGGCAATGGACTAGATTGGGCTCAGGTGCCAACTTTTGGCCTAGAACCATTGATAAGATGTACCAGAAATAACTAGGGCATTTCTCATTGCTCAGGCTTTTATTATTTCCTGCCTGAACTTTCTTAAAAGTTACTCTCTTGTCTTGGGTCATCAACTCCACTTGTCTACTAGACGCAGCTGGAGTGTCTTCTGTTTTAACACTGTGCCACTGCGATTCTTAAAACACTTCAATGACGTAGCACTACTTAGAGAGAGGAGTCTATACTTCTTAGCACAGTATGAAAGACTCTTTTTGCTCCATCCCTTGCTTTAGTTCCCTGACATCCCTCATAATCTCTCTCTGCCATTGTTCTTACCTTTTATGCTGAAGTAACACTCAACTTCCCTAACATACCATGCCATATTGTCGCTGTTCCTTTGCACATGTTCTTCTTCCCCAAAATGTGCTGTTAGTTGCTGTTGAATTGATTGACGCCATGTGCGCAGAGTAGAACCCTCCATAGGTGTTTAGAGTCTGTGACCCCTTGACAGCATATCATAAGGCCTGTCTTCTAAGGCACCTCTGGGGGTGGGGGGCTTTTAGAACCACCCAACTTTCAGCTAGTATTCAAGTCCTTAACTATTTGTGGCACCCAAGGAAACTAAAAATGTCTCCATCCACCTGGAAAAATTCCTTTGTGAAGGTTTTTTGCATTCCCTAAGCTGACCACATCTGATGCCTTTTTACTTAGCTTGCATTTCTATGGTTGCAATGTGGATGACTCAACTATGAGCTAGTTGCTCAAGAAGAGGCACTTCACTTCTTTGTGACTGAAGCATTAACCCATAGCATGGTGTGGCAGTTACAGAATCTCCTGTCAACTTGAGCGAAGGGGTAGAGTCTAACCTGTCAATCAGGTCGCAGCTTGATGACCTCATTTGGAGGTGCGACAGAGCTCCTGGAAGCCAGACTCACTCTCTCTGCCTTCCCTTTCCTGCTGTGGAGACACTCAGAGAGCTGGAGGAGACATGTGGAGACCTGCGCCAGCATTGAGATGTTTCCATTGCCACTGGATCCACAAGACCTTCTACCTACTGGCCTGTGATCTTCCTACATTCAGCATCATTGCATGTGCTACATGATTTTAAAGAGGAATTTATGGACTAGTACTGAATATATGGGCTAATATCAGACTTATGGATTTGATCTGGACTAGGCTGGGATGTTTTTTCTCAATATACAATTGCTATTTTCTATAAAGCTCTTTCTTATATACACATTTGAATATCTATGAATTTGTTTTTCTAGTCAACCCAACTACACACATGGCATCTAGCTATCATATAGCAGATGTTTAATGAATCTTTTTTTTTTTTTTAAAGAGAACATGTATTGAGCTTTAAATGGGCCAAGGACAAGATAACTACAGAGACATATCATCTGGATGAAGGAGAACATTAGCCTGAGGTAATAATGGTTTCCAAGGGTTTGTTGAGGCACAAAGCTTTAAAAAAGGACATGGGAGGCCAAAGACAACAGAGAAAAATATGGTCGGTGGCATACATCATACATCAATACATACATAGATAATACATCAATAAATCTATTTTGAACCAAAGTCAATGAAGGTACCATAAATGACACACTAATAAAGAATGGCAGGCATCTAAGTGAGGTGCCAGCTAAGTCCATATGGAAAGAGCAACTAGCCTGTGCGAGGGTTATAAATAATAAAGTCTAAGATCAGAGGAGGGAATTGTTTAAGAGCTTAAATTCTAAGGAATAGGTTTGCAGAAGGGTATGGATGACAGTAAAAGCCCAAAATCCATCTGCAGACTCCCTATGTAGATTAAGCCTCCACTGGATTCCTTCAGATCATTGATTAGGGGTGTGAATAGTCTTGCCATCAAACCGAGTGCTTTAGAAAGTGGATTACTACAGATACGGTGAGGTTAAAATTTAACATATTATCATTTGCTTTCCCTTTTGACCTATTTTTCAGTTGTTCAACTTTCTATCATCTTCTGTTTCTTTTGGATTGAGGTTACTGTGCTTTATTTTGTTGCTGTTGGTTTTTTGTATGCTTTCTTTATACGAAATTCAGAGACAGTAACTGGATCAATAGTTCTTTAGGGCTATAGAAGGCAAAGTTGCGGGGGTAATGGGAGGTAATAATAATGAATATAAGAGTAAAGAAAATGTTCTAAAATTGATTAGGTGAAGATTGCACAACTCTTTTTAATATAGTTAAACCACTGAGTTTTATAGTATGTGAATGATATGCCAATAAAACTATTAGGATAAATAAAATATTTAAAGAACTGAGAAAGTATGTCATTTTTGAACAGGAGAACCAAGAAATATTTCAGAAAACTAATTATGAACATGTTGAGAGAAGAAGCCATGTTTTATTTATCTTTGTGCCTCTAACTTATGAAAGTTAGAGGTGAAAGAAGTGGCTCTCATATTCTAGTGTGTTAAAAAACAAACTCAACTTCCTTTGACATGCTATAATCAAACACAGTCCAAGGATTAAAGAAAAAAGTCTTTAAAGTCTTCGTCTTCACCTATCTGTAACAGAGGGGGGCAATTGAAGGCGGCTGGGTCAGCGGTATCAGGACCGATGCTGCCATGATCTTCCTCTCTGCTACTCTGAGGAGCTACCAGTTGACAAGTTCTATTCCTTTTACTATTTCTCTTCCCTTCAAAAGACAGCATTCCCCCCACCCCTAGGTATGCTTGAAAGGAAAGAGGTAGACTGCAAGATGGTATTTATAGGCTGTAAGCCGCTCACCTGTTGAGCTGTTTTCACTGACCTTTATAAGTCGATTCATAGCAGTGGATTGTGCTGCTCGCACCAGGCCCTCCAGTTCAGCACCACTGAAATTCTTGGTCTCCACGGCCAGCTCTTTAACATCGACATCAGCAGAGAGTAACCGATACCCTCTCATCTTTGCGGTGTGGATATGAAGGATCTGTAGCCGGCCTTTCTCATCTGGTAAGCCTGATTAAATAAAAATTATAATAGGGAGTTTCTTAGTCTCAAAAGCACCATGAGCATTATAATCCAACTGCTTTTCTGATAAATCGACCCACTGCCATTGAGTCTATCCTGATGTATAGTAACCTCAGATAAGAGTTTCTGAGGCTATAAATCTTTATTAAGAGCAGATAGTCTCAATTTTCTTCTGCTTAGTGGCTGGTGGGTTTGAACCAATGATTTTGCAGTTATCAGTCCAATGCTTATCCTGAGTATCACAAGGGCTCCTTTTCCTATATGTACACAAGCATATAAACATCTGCTTCTCAGGACAGCCACCCTTTTTAGCAAACAACTTTTTTTTTTTTTTTGCAAACAACTTTCATAACATGTGTAGACATGGTTCGTGACAGGCCTGCTTACCTATCTCCATCTTCACTTCTAGTCTTCCAGGTCGCAGGAGAGCCTCATCTATCAGATCTGGTCTGTTGGTCATTCCTGGGCACAGACATTACAAAACAATAATAATACAGATGATCAGGATTCAATAAGGGGGAAAATTTCCCTTCATGCTATGTAAGGGCAGTAATTTCCTCACAAGTTAAGATGCTATTTTATAAAACTTGAATAACCCCAAATCAAACCTGCTGCCATAAAAGTCAAAAAGGAAACAAAATGATTGCCAAATTAGTGTTGGTTCTCGATCTGTTCTAACAAAAACACTAGAGACTTTGCTTTAGAATTTCATCATTACATACTTGCAATGTCTAGAAGGAAAGTGAAGGTGCAGGGAGGGTAAGGAGCTTGGCAGGGTGCTAAGGTATAATGTGACCAGCAGCTGTCTGCCTCCAAAGCCTCATCCCTTTCTTTTAGGCCAGTGGTTTACGGCCTTCCTAAAAGAGCAGGAGTCTTTGTCCAAAGTAATCCGTGGAAGAACCTCAGTACAGAAAACAGTCACCAGAAGCCATACTAGTGATGTGGGATCTGACCCGTACTCCCTGGCCCAGTTCAACCCTGGAGCACCTTCGAGACGCCATACAGGCCTCCAGGACCTGTTCTGTCACCAATGTTACACTGTGGTACCTTCCGTCTGTGGTAACCTATACACTTAAACCCACGAGTCACTGAAATTTGTCTTTTATTTGTCCCGTTGAGTCTGGACAGAAAAATAGGCTAAGTTCTTCACCATTGCTGGATAATTTGAAAACATTGGGCAAAAGAGTATAATCACAACCGCCACAGGTCTTCATTCAGAACTCAGATAGCTCAGGGGTTTGAAACGGCAATGGTTTTGAATTCGGTAAAAGTACCAATGACGAGGATGTTGTTCAGCTGCTCCACGCCGTCGATTTTGGACAGCAGCTGGTTGACGACAGTGTCATGAACTCCTGTACTGCCAGCCATGCTCCCTCTCTGCTTGCAGATGGCATCAATTTCATCAAAGATGATGATGTGCAAACCACTGTTGGCACCAAGCTATTAAGGAGAAAATCACATTAGAGGTCAAAATGTGAATGCTCTCAGCAGACACACGAATCAGAAAAGCCAAACCAAACAGAGAAATGCTGACTAATCAGTAGAGCCAGCACACCACGGCTGCTCTCTTCAGTAGCAGATCGACAGTCTCAGAACTCTGCCACCAGAAATGGTCTCCCGGGCCACAGGTCGAACGGCCACCAAATAAAATGCATATCATACACTGATGAAAGTCCTTAAACAACTAAATATTAAGTTATACCATTGCTCTATCTCCAGACCTCACAGACATTTTGAAGTCGTGGGAGGCAGTTCCCTGGATTGAGGAGATGACTGTCCCAGAAGCAGTAGGTTTATTGTTTGCTTTATCATGTCCTGTAGTGAAACCTTAACCCGGCCTAGAGGTTGGCTAGGGACTGGGCAAATGGGGAAAGGATTCACATTCACTGACGTGACAGGGAAATGGGTGACTTCCTCCATGGCCGAGTAGGGGCAGAGGCAGTTTCTACAAGAACCTGGTCAAGGCAATGCGAATCCTTCTGCAGAGGGAGAACGTGGACGCTTCCTGACAGCGACCTCCCAGGACAGTAGAACGAATGTTCCACAGCGTTTGCCGGGCTGTCACACAGCCAGGCCTGGTCTCCGTTGCAGCTACAGCCTTTCAGTTAGCAGCGGAGTGCTTAACCACTGCACCACCAGGGCGTCTCTAAGGACCATGAGGTGTCTCACTGCTGCAGTCTTTTCTAGCTTTTCTAAACATTTTGCAGTTTTTGTCATACAAGTGTCTTCAGAAGGATTCTTGCCTATTAATGAGTTTGGGGCCAATTGTGCATGGGATTCCCCCACTCTGTTTCATAAACAGTATATAAGTATGAAGGAAATATATAGTCACTTCAACTCTCTCTTTTTAAAAGCTACATCTTTTGACTTTACTAGGTAGACAACAATATCATCTATAAACACCACTGCACGTTCTTTTTCACTAACAGGTATACTGACTGCTAGGTTGGGGAAATAACCCTGAACTGAAGTACATGAAACGCACTGCCATCAAGTTGATGCCAACTCACAGAAACCCTAGAGGACAGGGTAAAACTGCGTGTGGGGTTCCCGAGGTTCTAACGGTTTACGGGAGTAGAAAGCCCTGGCTTTCTCCCGAGGAGAGGATAAGAGCCGAACACAGAAACGCCGCAAAGCATGCAGTGGCACGGGTAGGCTCAGCGACAATCCAGGCCCTATAGACGGGGCACGGAGATTTACCTAATGTGAGAAGCATTAGTTCTCACAATACCATGACCGACCCTGCAGGCCAGGAGCAGGCCTTTCTCTTAAAACCGAAGAGCTCATGAAAGAAGCTGCAAAAGCAGAATGCTCTTTGCATCTCAGATGACTTGAATCTTGGCGCTAGGATGGCAGAGGGGAGCTGTGCAGCAGGAAAGCCAGGGAGAAGTGTCGGACATATGGGTTAATGTTGGACTTGTGGGCTTCGGCAGCACTGGGTTGGGATGTCTTCTTGATGTGCACTTACCCTTTATATAAAACTCTCTCTTATACACGAGTTGATGTGGATTTGTTTCTGTAAAATACCCAGACTAACACAAAGGCAGACCCTGGATCTGATTACTGCCTGGAAACGGAAAGGAAAGTAGCAGCAAGGGAAAGAAATTCCCACGCAATTGGGAAAAGGATACTGAAGAAACAAATAAATATACATATATAGGAAAGCATTTGTTTAAGTTACTAACATGATAATATTAAACTATTAATAGGGCATCTAATTAGAAATGCCCTTCCGAGAAGAAGATAATACACAACTGAACAGAACGGGATAGAAAGATAGAGATCTTACAATTATTTAAAGATAATACAGAGTAACAGACAGATTTTAAAAACCTGATAGTACTTACAATCTACCATTTATGTTTGGACTACTGTCCACTCTTTTATTTAATAATATGCGAGTCACGTGTCTCTCGGGGGTTTCTAAAACTAAATTGGGCTTTCTTGTTTCCCTTGAACGTTACTTACAAACTGTTTTCCTTCTACAAATGCTTTAAAAACTTTACTCAAATTTGAAGGGAAAAAAAATCAAATGTATTTATAAAACCGATGTCTTGTGATAAATGGCACTTTGCTGCTTACGTGCTTTTTATCTTTCCATCTGTACAGATACACGAGGAAATGGAAGTAAGAGCTCAGCTTGGTCACAGCACTTTTATATACTAGGGTATGGGCTTCTGCCGTCTTCTGTGCAAAGTATGTGGCCTTCCTAGGAAGGACTGAGAAACTGTATCTTATTATTCCTACAGGTATTTTTATTCAAGGTTGCCTGCACAATATGGTGTGAAACACAAAGCAGCTAGGGAGCATACCGTTTGCTGTCGGTGTGTCCCAGGCTAACTGGAAACACCCATCCGTGGACAGGGAAGGCCCAGACAGTGAGAACATGGTGCTTGAGGGCCTGATGGCAAGGGCCATCTGTCCTAAACATAACTCAGCGCAATTCTGACCTTCAGAGAAGCTTACTAAGCTTGGGACCTGTCATCAGGTCCCTTCCCCCAGCAGAGTCGGTGCAATAACCTTCAATTTCTACAGGTGCGTTTCTTAGAGAAAGGCACGTGCTTATTCTAACCAATCGGCAATTCAGGTAGGGGCCATGTCAAGATTAATGTTCACAGGTTAGTCCAGCTGAATCATTGATAGGCTCTTTACCCAAGAGGCTAACTCTACACAATAGAATTTTCCTCCATCCTCTGATTTCTCGCTCTACTCTCCCCCTCTGCGTCTTTCCTTGCAGAAGCAGAGCTGATGCTACAGAGCAGCTGCAACAGCTTTGAAAGCAGCTGTTCTATATTTAACTCGTTTGACCTATATGCAAGTGTGCATCTCCGTCAGCCTGGATTGTCCAGAACCACAGACAGGCTTTTCTTATTATGTAACAGACTCTTACCCCCTCTGTGGGGTTATTAACTGAGTCGGCTGAGCCATTTCAGGATGGAGAGAGAGAGAAAAAAGGTATCACTGAAAAGACTGGCTGTGATTAATATCTGCCTAGAAATTCGTGGTCAACTCAGATTTATCACTAATACGATCAGAATTTGAAAGTTTGAAAACAGCACCAAAGTAGTTCTATGCAGCCATGCCAAACGATCACACCCAAGGTCTGTGAAAGGCTTCCTCCTCGGGCTGAAGCCTCACGAGGTCATCAGGTGGAGACCCACCAGAGCTCAGGACAGCCTGGAGGGTGCTTTTTTGAGCAGATTTGGGTATTTTAAAGGACTGATCTTTCACGACATTTTATTTTTTCTTAGAGGTCTTCCTGAGAACAGAGGGAAACCTATTTTTAAAAACAGAGTAAGGTTCATTCTATCTTAATTACCCTATGGGTCTACTGGACCCTTCTGTAAATCTGAGATGCATTATGAGATCATAGTGAACTTATTTTACTTGCATCTTAAACTAATTTGCTGGTTCATCATTCTAGGAATGATTTCCTCAGGGCTCCTTGTAGTGAAGGGAAACGACTTACCCTGGCTCTTCAATCGTAGTTGTCATCACTCCTACCAGATAACTGGGTGGGACCAGGCAAATATGGTGTGTGAAACTCATATAGTGTGGACCGATCAATCTTGCCATTCCACATGCTCATTCACTGCCAGTGAACTGATCTTTACAGGAGCAGACAGTCTCACCCTTCGCCCACCAAGAGCTAGTGGTTTTGAACTGCTGATCTTGAAGTTAACAGCTCACCTCATCATCCACTATGTCACTCAGGTTCTTCAGTCAAAAGAACTGAGAGTCCCACGACCATCAATCAAAACAAATTATCAGAAGAGAGCATGTTTGATCTCTGCCGGAAGTGGTGGAGGCGGCAGAGGCACCAGAGGCTGCCTCACAGAGACCATGAGAAAGAGTGCCTTTGGCCAGGCAGTTGAATTGTGCAGTGGGATGTCCTTTGGGCACGTGTTAGCGCTAACGGAGCTTTGCAGAACAGGGCAGAGACCAAGGGGTCGTGTGGCTGAGAGGCTAAGAACCAGAAAGAGGCACATCTGCTGGCTTGATTAAGAAGCCGTGCTGGGGACAAAATGACTGTATCCTTAATATTTTCTGCTCCTGACTTGTGGTAACTTGTTCACTTTCCTCATAAACCCTGATAGTCATGAGTTCGGG